CACTTGTTGTTCATTGATTTGTTGATCATAGCCATTCTGACAGATGTGAGATGGTACCACATTGTCACCATGTACATTTTATACAATAAAAATGAAATTTTCTATTTCCCCCTTTGAAAACAAGTATTCTGGCTATTGGATTTTTCTAATATGTGAAAAATAGAGACTTTTGAAAGCACCTAGGCTTGTAACCCCCCCAAAATTTTCAACACCTCTGACTCTGACAAAGTTTACTTGTTTTTATTATACAAAGAACTGGTTTTGGCTTTTTTTAGTTAGTGAGAATAGAAAGCACATGTTTTCCACTACACGGCCTTTCAGAAGTGTGATATCTAAATTTGGATTCTTCTGTTTATATCAGAAAGCAATTTGAGGATCTTCTGTATCTTAAAATGAAGATTATATTGCTTTCTATATAATTTTTGTGTAAAGTATATATTTTTTATTCTAGTCTATGAAAATTTAAAAGCATTTCATATTTATAGTAACTATTTTATTTTTTAATTATATTGACATTCAGCATTATATTAGTTTCAGGTGTATATCATAGTGGTTAGACGATCACACTTGACAAAGTGGTCCCCCATATTTCAAGTAACCATGCGTAGTTATGACAATGTTATTGACTATATTCCCTGTGCTGTACTCTGCATCCCTGTGAGTATTTGTAACTACCAGTTTGTACTTCTTAAACCCTTACGTTTTTTCACCAGCCCCCCTACCCTCCTCCTTTCTGGCAACCCTCAGTTTGTTCTGTGTCTATGCATCTGTTTCTGTTTTGTTTGTTCATTTGTGTTTGGTGTTTTGTTTTTTTTTTAGATTCCACATATAAGTGAAATCATATGGTGTCTGTTGACTTATTTCACTTAGCATAATACCCCCTCAATCATGTCAAACTCAAAGGCTAACACGAGCCGAATAACTGAGGCATGCGGCCTGCGGGCCATGAGTTTGACATGCTTGCTCTAGGTCCATGCCTGTTATTGCAAATAGTAAGAATTCATTCTTGTTTATGGCTGAGTAATATTCCATTGTACATATGCACTTTAAACCAGATACTTTTTCCAAGCTCAATAATAGAAAAAGCTTACATCCTTAGCCATAAATTTCTTCTAAAAAGCAACTTAACTTCTGCACATTCCATCTTAGGTTGTTAATATAGTCTTAAGACAGGCAGGTTTACAAATGAAGAAGCTAAGCACAGAGAGAAAAAGTACTAAGTCAGGTATTCTGGAGCTCCTAGTCTATTGTTCTTTCCACTGAACCCCCATTGCTATGGAAAAATTATTTTGCAAAATATAGTTTTACCATATTCATGTACTAACTATATCAGACACCAGCTAGTCTATCCTTTTCATTTTACAGATGAAGAATCTAAAACTTGGAGGATTAATTAGTGCATACTGGTCTTCCATTTTAGTGACTTCGCTGGCTTGTGTCTGCTTTTTCCTGCACCAGCCTGAAGGATGCTCACACAACAAGCACTCCTTCTCATGGTGTTGGGGTGCCCCCGAGGGTTGCTCTGAGCTTTATACCACCCCTGTGTTTCTGTGCCTTTGACAGTTTCACAACCAAAGACGAGCTGGGAAAGGCAGCACCTCAGCTACTGGCTCCTGGGCTGATGGGAGAATCTTCCGAATCCTTCAGTGCCCAGGAGGATGAAGGCCAAAGGGAGTACCGGGCCACTGACTCGGACTCTGATGGGCCGATCTTGTACACTGACGACGACGATGAAGAGGATGAAGATGAGGACGGCAGTGGAGACAGTAAGACTTTTTCTCAGGAGGGAGGGAGGGAGGAAGGTGGTGGGCAGAAGCCACGGCGTTTTATAAAGAACAGAAGCTTCACCAAACACCAAACATCTGAAGTTCTCTTTCCCCTCATATTCCTGTCTCAAATTAGAACTGTGTATATCCTGAGGTTTAGCTTCTGATGACAGCCCTTTCCAAAGATGGTTCCGTGCGGGGTGGGCAGTGGGGCGTAGATAGGCACATTCGTATTTGTCCCAAGAGTCAAAGCTTCCTGAGGATGGAGGCCGTTCTCAGGATGATCAAAGTCAACTCTTTGACTTTGTTGAATAAAGAGCGTCAGTGCAGGATTCCCTGGATTACTCATGGGAAATGTTTGAGAATTTCACTTATTTTTTTATGCTGCAGTTTAAGGAGAAGGGAGGGAGAAATGAGTCAAAAATGACACATTCCTCTTAAGAATTAAAAACAATCACTCATCCATGGTAAGATTGTATGCCTTCTAGGAAAGAATGCTAGTAAAGTAGCGAAAGCCAACCATTTATGTGTAAATGAGGGAACTGGAAAGTGCTATTTTTTAAATTTTTCTAAGCAGGATGACTTAGGAGGGATTCCTGAGTTAAATTTATAGATTATGAAAAGGTATTAGCATATTTACGATTAAACATCAGTTTGTCAAATTTCTTTCCATTTGTTCCGAGCAACAACAAACATTATCATCCATCTGGTATTAACTATCATCTGTGGAGATGTCAGGGATCTCTGGGGTACTTTAGGATTAAAACTTTAGTATAAACGTGGACTTTTGCCAGAGTGGTTTCTGCGTGGAGAAAGAGGGAAGACAGGGATTTCCTGAACAGTATACTAAAGGGGCTAAGTATTTAGACTTGAGAAAGAGAAGGCATTATGCAATCAGTAGTTTCCATGATTCGCCATCTCAGCAAAATAAACTTCAAATACCACTTTCCAAATGATGAGGTGATACTTCCAAGTTTTTCCTGGTGCCCCAACATTCTTCTGAACATTTTTAAAAATAGTTCTCCAGTTTTTCAAAATGAACCTCATCCAACTAAAAAGGCCCTCCTCCCCACCCCAAGGCTAATTAAAATTCCCCTCCTGCATGTGGACATAGAATTTGGTCTGGACTCAGTTTGAAGTCCATGCCCCCTGTAACCCCAAGTGGCACTGGTTAAAAGGCTCCATTTCTGCATTTCTGCCTTTTCTAATCCTCAGGTGCTTTGGCAAGTAAAATCCGACGAAGGGATACTCTTGCTATCAAACTGGGCAACAGACCGTCCAAAAAAGAATTAGAGGACAAGAACATCTTGCAGCGGACCTCTGAAGAAGAGAGGCAGGAAATTCGACAGCAAATTGGAACCAAGCTAGTCAGGTAATGGCTGAAATTTTAGTACAGCACCAACGAGCACATACTTTCCCCTTCCTGTCGTTTCCAACCTGAGGTCATTGTGATTGGCTTGTGTAAGGGCACCCCTGGCCCACCTGGTCTTTTAAAGTTGGTGCTGGATGGTGAAGCATTCAAAGAACCTGTGCTTCGGTCCAGACGGTCAGTGGCTTTGAGGTTGCCAAAGCCTGACCCAAATGTTGACAGACTTTTTCTATAAAGGACCAGTTCGTAAATAGTGTAGGCTTTGCTGGCCAGAAGGTCTCTGTAGCAGCTGTTCAGCAAGAGCAGCCATAAACAATACATAAACACACGAGTGTTCCACTGCAGTGTTATTCATCGAAACAGGAGGCAGCCTCGTCCACGGACTCACGAGCTTCCTGGGATTTCCAGGAGGCTCTGTCCTGCGGGCTATGAGACTGTGGAAACAGTAGTTAGCTGCAACGGTCAGCTCCATCCAGGTCAGGTAACCCCAGCCCCGATGTCAGAAGTTCCCTCTTTTAACTTCAAATAAACGATCATCTGACTTCTCTTCCTGCATCCAGCTCTTGGTGATTTTTATTTTTGCCACTAGTGACACTGGAAGTCCATTGAACTGGCAGTTTTAATAGAAATGAATGCTGAAGCTCTCATTTTTATTAGCAGCTTAAGTGTCGGTTATTTTTCTGACTTCTCCCACCCTGTGTACACCACAAGGTGCATTAGCTGGGGGAAGGGAAGAGTCTGTGAGACAGAGCAGGATCTGTCAGTGCTGCGTAGGGGCAAAGAACCAGGAGCCTTTAGTTCTCACTGTCAGGAGAATCCGGACACCCACCATCAAGGCACTGTATTAATCATTTATAAGATATCAGTAGTTGGAGAAAAAGAAAAGGGAGGAAACTCCATAAACAAAGGAAGGATGATGTGTTTGGAGGATGACGTAGCAGGGATATGTCGCACAGGATACATGGGTACACAGATGGCACAGCTTCGGGCTGGCATAGATGGTCAGTGGTTTTTTTTGTGGGCTCACAAGTTAATTTCAAGGGAGCTCTGATGGAGATTAAACTTTAACAAAAGTTTTAATGAGCTATTTAAAATATTATTGATTTCAATAATTTCTGTCACAGCCATAAAAACTTAGCATTGATAGTATCTATATTAAAATTTACCTTTCATGGATATTAATTTGCACACACTCAGCCTACATCCAGAGGAAGTTTTTGTCTGTGATTAACAACAAATTAACAACATAAACAAGACCAAGAACAAAGTTCGAGAGGGTTCACAGGACATTCAGCTCTTGTGTACAAGGAGTTAGCCACTAATCACAAGTGAGCCTGGCTTGTCTTGAGGCAAACGGGAAGGGCCTAGGTATCTCAAGAGAACTGTATACATTTGAAATTCATTGAGGTCACAAAAGCAGTGTTTCCCTTAAAACACTATGAAGTGTAGATTGATCATCTCCCAAGTTGAAATGAACTCTCACGCGGCAGCCTTTTTTAGATCCAAATGACTGTGTATGAATTAGGGAAAAGGCTAAGCTGCTTTAACAGAGACCAACATATGCAGTGGTCCAAACATTTCCTCATGTTTATTTCTTTTTCACGTAACAGTCCAGAGGTAGGTGGGCTGTACAACACGGCTGGGAGCATTGCTCCTTGCAGTCAGCCAGGTACACAGGTTCCTTCTGTCTTGTTGCTCTTCCTTCCCCATGGGTATTCCATCTACATGATCCCAGCTGACTCACTGACCATGTTTAAGTGGAAGAAGGAAAGGCAGAGAAGGGTTAAAAAGTAGAAACTACAAACACCATTTCTGCTCACATCCCATTGCAAGAATTTGGTCACATAGCCACACCGTGCTGCTCGGGTGACAGAAAGCTGCTGCTGGAGGAGATGGGGGGAATAGGGGGTTATAGTCAAAGCTCAATGAGTTCTGTTTCTGAAAGGAAGAGAGAGAACGAGTAATGGGGGTTAGCTAGCAGTCTCGGCCACAATCTCTAGTCTCCAAACTAACAGAAAGGACACTTTTATGGGTTTAAAAGTTAATTTCTGTTTCTCAAAACAGGGAAAACATAGCTTTGTTTGTTGTTTTATTTTGTTTCTCACTAAGGGGGCCTTGTTTGTAACCTGCAGCATATCTTTTTTGTCATCGTAGGAGACTTAGCCAGAGGCCCACAACTGAAGAATTAGAGCAAAGAAACATCCTAAAACGTGAGTACCCTGCACTGTACAGTGATTCCTTGTCTAACCATTAACAAGCTCCCTCTAGAGATGATTCGTTTATCAATAGGAAACCATAGTATATTTATTCAGAAAAGGTTGAAATGGCCCATTCATATCACATTTATGTGTCATCGTGTATATAACTTACAAAATAATTTCTTGACATTTGTATTTCATTTTATAGCTTTGAGCCTGATATCCCCCAGACCAGAGTCACGGTTGTGACAGTTGTTTTTAAGATGAAATATATTCCATGTATGCTTTCACCCAACTATTAAATAAAAGAAAATGCTCTAGTCTGCTTGCAAACATGAACATTTCTAAGAAAAGGCCAGAAAATCCACAAGGAAATGAATCAAGCATTCCTATATTATTCTTAATAATACAATTTGTTGCCAGGTTTTAACAAATGACTCGATTTAAAACAGACTCATGGTCAAAGCAATTTTTCAATCTATTTCATTTCAATCCATTTCATTTTCCTTTGTTATGATAACTCTGTTTCCCTCTTGAGTTATTTATAATTTCTCAGCACTTACCGAGTTTTCCATTCATTTTCCAATTTTTTTTCTCAATTTATTTTTTTCTTTATTTTTTTTGACTTGACATTTCACTCACCGATCCAGTCATATTTAAATTATTACAGCTCATATGCTAAAGCTATAAGACGAATGGAAGCAGTTTGTCATGCTACAGTGTATTAATGTGGTTACTAACTACAGTGAGTTAAGTAATGGATATTTTTAAATTCAGCCACTGCCGTTTTATATGTCATTAACCCAGCTTCAAAAGAGCTTTTTGTTGTATGAAATATCAAAAAGCAGGGATGGGCCAAACTCCAGATAGTACTACAGTAGTAACGAGCCACTGGCATGCGCTGAATGTTTTTACCTAGGTTTTTAGGGTCAAGTTGGCCTATCTGGACCATCCCCATTCTCCAACCTGAATCATTTTCTTTTCTGAGGGAAAGAAGGGTTTTAATAGCACGAGGACTGAAAAGGGAGAGGAATTGCCAGTCTATGGGATTTTTTTCCCTTGGAATTTTTTTCCCCCCCTTTTTTTTTTCTGGCTCTTTGTGAGCATAATTGGGATAGAACTCAAGAAAGGACTTAAGCAACCATCAATGTATACAAGAGCCAGTTTGGAGAGGGAAAAAGTCATGGCTAGAAAAGAAAAAAAAAAGGTAGATCTTAGCTTTCTAAAATAGGATGGCAACAACATCTAATTTTGACAACAAAACCAAACCAAAAAGGCCCACGGCTTTTGATAACAGGTTCCCGGAAAATATTTGAATTAACTTTTAGGCAAGCTCAAATGCAGATCATGAGCTCCTAACACACAGATTATTTCTTATTGGATGCCTGATGCAATACCTAGAAAAAAAGGAAGAGCGAATTCTGGGTAATTTGTTCCTGCTCCTGTGAGATAAATAGTGCCAGACCACATTGGTGTTTGGTTGTTTGAGGAACTGTGGGATAGATCTGGAAATTTATCACACATCGATCTTAAGTGCTGTGTTGGCTTTTATCCCCCATTTTCCTGGAGGTTCGGGGAAGAGTGAAATGCCAAAGTCAACTTCAGGCTTGACTTCAGCCCTTATTTACTTCCTTTTCGGTTTGTTTAAGCATGCTTTTTCTGGAAACAAAAGACACATTTGCAGTCTGGAGAGGCAGATAACTGGCCGGTGGTCTCCTGACATAATATTGTACGGCCAAGGGAAGCAGAAAAGAGAACTGGCGGACATCATCCAGAGCATACATATGACACGTTATTCCGCCCCTCCTGGCTTCTCGGTTCTTCCACATAGATGGCTCTTGTTTGTTTATATCTTTCGTCTCCAGCGTTGGGTCAAGAGCAGTATGATTGTCTATTTGGAGAAAAGTCTATGTGTGACATGGTGTGGTGTTTAAGGACATTTATTAACTAGGTCACTTTTTTTCTTGACAAATTAGAGAATGAGTTCACAGAATAAAACATTCAGCAGTTCTCAAATCCAAGTCCATCACTAAACCTGAACCAGATGACCATGCTGATAGCTCTATTTGGAACACAGGACAAATTTTATTTCTCAGTTTCATTCCCAGTATTGCAATCTGTTTTATTTCTTTCCCATTTTAGTGCATCTAGCATTTAAAAATACATGTAAAGCTATATTTAGTTGTACATTTTAGAACCAGTTCCTTAAAACTGTTAAAATAGAAAGCACGTTTTGGTGCTTAAAAGGTCAACTTTTGCTCAACAGGAAAAGTGATATGTATGGCATACCTTTTTCAGGGCAGGGGTAAAAGATAAAAGTCCACAAACTATTTTAGTTGTGACTGTTATTCCAGCTGTGTCTTCTATAGGGGGAAAATGTACTAGGCCATTGAGTTCTGAATGTAACATTTTCTATGAAATTTTTTAATCCTACAGAAACGTTGAAAGAATTTTACAGTGAATACCTATCTGTCTACCATCTACATTCTACCATTAATATCTGCTTTATCACATCTTGCTTTATCACATATCTGCCCATCTATTGATCAATCTCTTTTTGGGGTGGGGGGATGCATTTCAAGTATGTTTATAAATGTATTTCCATTTGCTAAAAACACCCATACAGAAACATGAAAAACAATAAAAAGAGAAAGAAACCCACAAAAATGTTTAGCTTTTTAAAATCCCATTTTATCTGAATTGATGACTCAAGAATATAATACTCCAGTGACTGGTATTTCCGTGTTTCTCTTTGTTCTTTTAGCTCGTCCACAAAATGCTCTGGGCAGCACTCCCTAACTAGGCAGCTTTCCTGTAGTGCACTCCCACCCCCACCCCCCAAACCTCCTGTATTGCTTGTGTGTTTATGGCAAATACTTCCTGTGGCTATTCTGAAATATTCGCCCCTCTCTGCTCTGATGAGAGTTACTGAGGGCAAGATTTGTCAATGAGCCACGTCACTTCCTTCATGAATGTTCCTCCAGTCTGTTTCAAATGACCTGCAAGGTTTATATCCTACTTTATAATTACCCTCTAATAAATCTAAAAGAAAAGGAGGAAACATTAAAAAAAAACTTCAGTCAGTTTTTTAAAACAAAGTTTAAGATTTAATCTTGACTCTTTGTAAGAGATTTTTACAGTGACTATTTTAATAAGATTCACCTCTAAAACCCTCTTCCTCTAACTTCATTAGAAGCATTAATTTCAAATATGGGGACTATAAGAAAGCCAGCTCCTGATGTTAAAAAAGAATTCCCAAATGGAAAAATCATGTTTATTTAACTCCCTAACTGCAATTGACCCTTCTTCTTCTTCTTTTTTGAAACTTAACTGACTGCCACGTAGATATACAATATGCCTGTTTAATAAGGCAAAATTATCTAATATTCCCTTCAAAGATACGACATTTTGTGTATTTCATGAAAATTGGAGCATGAGTTTTGAGTTGTATTAGATACCCAATTTTTTGTCTTTGAAAAGTACCTTTAAAAACATAGCATAATCACTGTATAGGAAGAAGTGAAATGTTTAAGGGTTATATTTTTCTTTTTACTAATAATATCATCGGAGGCCTAATCTTGTAAAACCCTAGTTTGAGTAGCATGAACTGTAAGTTTGGTGTTTGGATTATATAATCCATATGCCTTATACACCTCACAAAAGGTAATTATTTGACCCTAAGGATGTATTTTAAGAATACCTACAGTAACTTCATGGGAAGAAATCTGAATTATAACCAAATTTGTTTGACACTCAATAAAAATATACCACCAGTAACTAGTTGTTTCCTATTCTGCAGGGTGATTTCAGTTTATGTCCACTCTATCTGAAAGGCAGACTAATCATTCTTTCTTACCAATTAAAATTAGTGTTTCAGAAGCCTGCAGAAACTTTTCCTTATTAATAAGGAAAATTAATAGAGATTTAGCATGTTCAACTAACAAATTAAGATGTTGCAAATATTGAATGCTAAATTTTATTAATGACAAAAATAAATTTAGTGGTAAGTCTGTTTGAATTTAAAAATCTAATTATTTTTTCAGAGAGGAGACTTTTTGTTCACCATTATAGTTGAGCTTTTATATAGTGTGATTTTTCCTTCAGTAGAATTCATAACAGCACTTTCTAAAGGATAATATTTTATAAGTATTAATACTCAGTAAGCAAAATCTGTGCTCATTTATTGAACAAATGATGAGCTACAGGAAGCTATGGAGAGAAATTCATCAAATAAGCAACCATTAAAACCTGAAGGGATGTTTATTTCTTTAAAGTTCTGGACATTTTTCTCTTAATCCCATCTGTTGGACAGCATTCATTTAGGTTGGCCATTAAATTGTACTACTTGGTAAAGTACTAGAGGAAGAGGAGACGTTGGAAAGTCACAGTCATGAGAAAATAAATCATCTCCACAACAGTACACCATAACCCCATTCAGAACATTCTGGTTCAGAAGCAGAGTCCAAAGAAATGCTTACATTCTGCTTCTATGGAAACCAAAACAGACAGATCAACTATTTTGGTTGGATTTGAATGGAAATCAGCAACTCAGACATGCATCAGATGGTTCTAATTTGTTATTTTGATATGTCTCGGATTTTCACATGGAGGCCAGATCCAGCAGTAAATTTTTCCCTGAATTCTGATCATCTATGCTTGTAAGCCCATGAGATGATCAGCAATGAAAGGCTTTCACCAGAATATGGGAACTCTTGTGGGGGGTTTTTTGTTTTGTTTTCAGAATATAACAGTAAGTCTGGAAGCAGAAAAGGTTTACAATTAGTAAATAGGTCAGTCATATAAGGAAAAAAATATTATGTGTATGTATGTATGTATGTACTAGTATACATATATAAAGCAATATAATTATATATATATATAACTTAATGGTTGATCTTTCTGCAAAGTATTTTGACAACTTTTTAAAGATGTTGGAATGTTTCATCATATCTGTTAAAATCAAATAATTGTGGCCTGATCTACTTTTCTGATTATAAAATCACTTATAATAACTAAGTCTTCATGTCTTCCCTTCCATTAATAAGCAGAAAAGAATGAAGAGGAAGAACAAGAAGCAAAAATGGAACTTAAACGCAGACTCAGCAGAAAGGTGATGAAACTACAACTGTTAATGATTGTGTGTGTTCTGAGATATAGTTCCTTTTTTAAATGCAAATCGACTCTTCACATGTAAATCTTGATATTTAAGGATAATTATTCCTGTTAGTCTACTAACTGATCATAGGCATTAAAATCAATGTAATGAATACAGTATAAATTATCTTTATATTTATAATTGCATATGTTAATTAAACTTTTAAAGTGCATTAGGTGATTATGAAAATAAGATGTAATCGGTGTAAGAATTTTTTAAAATGCAAAAGGGAATAAAAGAAAAAAGTCATAGAAACTTCTTCCATTTAAAGATAACCTTTATTAACATTTCAATGTTTAGTTTTTAAAAATGCTTACACTTTCTATGTAGTCTTGGAAATATTAAATAAGTATTTTTTTGCTACTGAAGATTTGCCACTATTCCGTATCTGAGCTGGGTGACTAATTTTTTAAGTGAACTTGATCATCCAGGCTGCCTACTATAGTGCTACCCAAATTGACAAACAGCTTACCTCAGGCAATAGTTTCCACCATTTATGAAAATATAAATGTGATGCCAGAGCTATCACTTTTTCCTGTGTTAAAATAATAACAGGCTTTGGAAAAATTAAGTTCTATAAGCACTTGTATTTCATTGTACATCTTTGTCTGGTAATTGTTCAGGTATACCTTCACACCTGGGCAAGGCAGGATGAGTAAAGCATGACACCCGCAGTGAAGTGTGTGGTCTGCCCACATTTACCTGGGCTGGCTGGGGTGTCCGAGACAGGTAGAAGAAACAGTCCATTCCCATGGGAAAGTAGAGACTGTACTATGAGAGGTTTTGGTTTTGATTTTTAGAGGAGAAGATCCTTTATTCATCTCTCTTTTTTTTTCCCCTCAAAGACACTAATAGTTAAACAATGATCAAGCTGAGAAAGACTCTGTAAACTGAATATTAGAGCTGTCTCTTCTGGTATTCGGGGCTAAGTTCCAGCTTTAGATAAGAAGTAGCCCCTCCTCATAGCTGCACACTCACCCCGACATGCATATAATCTTCTCAGCCAGGTGGGCTCTTCCAGGAGGCAGCAGAGCCTGCCCTTAACTCCTGTCCCCGCTTGCCTCCTCTATGCAGAGCTCCCTGCCACAGGTGCAGGACAGTTCATACCACTACTAACGACCCTGTCACTGGCACAGTCCTGAACGGCAAGACTGGATGGAGCCTGGCAGATGTTGCTCAGTGGTTGAACGTCAACCTATGAACCAGGAGGTCACGGTTAGATTCTCAATCAGGGCACATGCCTGGGTTGGGAGCTTGATCCCCAGTAGGGGGCATGCAGGAGAGTCAGTGATTCTCTCTCATTATTAACGTTTCTATCTCTCCCTCCCTCTCTCTTACTCTGAAATCAATAAAAACATATTTTTTAAGACTGGATGGAGAATTTCTGACCTGTGTGGCCCTTGGTCACTTGCCTTTTGGGCGGTCCCCAGAGGCAAGGGTTTCTCTACCTCCTTAACCCCACCAGTCCTGGAAAGGTAGTAAGAATCTAACAATAGAGATCAGACAGTAACTGAACTGCTTAGATTATACCTTCCTTTGTCCAGTGCCCACCAGGACTTCATGAACTTAGAAGGAACTACAGTTTTCATGTCCCAGCTCAAGTGGGCTCAGGGTGTAGGCCCAGGCCTTCTAAGAGTCTTTGAATGTCTTGAACGTTAGAGCACTGACTGAGCCCAACCTCTGGTTTTACTCAAAAGAAAACCACGGCCCCAAAATGGGGATGTTTTTAACCACAAAAACATTTTTTTGTGATTGTACTTACTTTTTCCAAACATTGAGCCTATGTAAATAAGGAACGCTTCCACAGACTACTTAGATTGTGGAAAGTCTGGATAATACAGGATATATATATATATATGGAGAGAAAAGATGCTGAATATGGACCCTATGAGTAAAACAGAAGCCTGGGTCTACCTGTGTCACAATACTAGGACACCTCCCACTGAGAAAGGCCACAGAAGCAGGAACCTCAGTAGCAGAGAGTAGTGATGCCTGTCGACCAGGGGGCCATGTTTCTTTCGTCTCAGAACCATCTCTGCTTTATTCTCGAGCTTGAGAAAGAGCCGAGAGAGGAAAGCAAATACCACAGGGCTGGGTAGATTAAATATAACTATAAATTCCAATTTGACAAAGACCATAGGAGGAATCCACGTTATTAGACGTGTCTTGAAGGTTGCAGCTGATTCTAAGTAGTTAGGGCCTCACTGAAGTGCAGTTCTCCAGAAGGCCCTCCTCCTACGTGTCAGCTTTTGTGGCCAAGAGTAAATGTCAAGCATGGGTCTGAGTCCTTAACCTTCCGTGGAAGAAGTCCATGGACACACCCTTCCCGGGACCATTTCTTTGTCATAACTTGGTGCATCTCTGAATGTACAGGTTTAATTAAAAATAGGAACCAGGCTTTTTATTGCCATTTCTAAAAGTTGCAGGGCTTTCTCCTTCATGCATAATTCAATCCACATCCTGTGTCTGGATTTTTATTGTGCCTGTGGCTTCGTGTTCCCCGTGTCAGGGATGACAGGCACCTTTATCACAATACCAGGCAAGGCGGAGAAAACAGCGTAATGCACACAGTTGCCAAAGATTGTGACCTATCTAAAAAGGATGATTTTTATAGTCTCAAAATTAGGGCACACTGCTTTCTAGTTCTTATTAGAAACTCCCAAGATGCTGCTGCCTTTTCTTTCTTCTTCTTCTTTTTTTTTTTTTATGTGAAAGTGACCTTATTTGACCATAACTTCTAAGTTCTCTATAGAAGACACGAGGCTGTAAATGGTTTACTGAACTTGTCCTTTATCCTTGTCCTCCTGCAGCTCAGCCTGAGACCTACGGTGGCAGAGCTACAAGCTCGAAGGATCCTGCGGTTTAACGAGTATGTAGAAGTCACCGATTCTCCCGACTACGATCGCAGGGCAGACAAGCCGTGGGCCAGGTTGACACCTGCAGACAAGGCAAGAACTCAAGTGTCTTTAGCTATGATTTCACTGATTGATGATTTTATTGCTTTTCTGAAAGCGCCAACACTCACTTATCCCCACTCAGCCATCTAAGGAGGCTTGATATTACCAAGTATCCCAATAATTTTTTGCCTTTCATTATGTAAGCCACTTATGTGATATATTTAGTACTATTAATGAAGTTCTTTCAACTAAGTCTCATAAAAAAAAACTATAATTCTCATGGTACCAAAAATACTGCATATTTGGCCCTGGCCGGGTGGCTCAGTGAATTGGAGCATTGTCCCTTGCATCAAACGCTTGCAGGTTCAGTTCCCAGTCAGAGCACATATGTGGGTTGTGGGTTCGATCCCTGGTCAGGGTATGTGTGTGAGGCAACCGATTAATGTTTCTCTCTTACATCTATGTGTTTTTCTCTCTCTCTCTTCCTCTCACTTTAAAAATCAATAAAAAAATCATTGGGTGAGGAATAATAATAATAATAATAATAATATGTATTTGGTCTCAGTGCTATCTCCTAGCGGCTTGTTTTGTTTCAATTTTAGAAATACCTACTTTTGGCTCAGTTACTTCCCATTGGTCCTACCCAGCACTATTTGGACTCCAGTCCCACTACATCAACCTACTTCTTTCTGTTCCATATTTTCAACAAAATCAGTCTCATTTACACTTACATGAAGAGTTATTAAGCCTAAACTCGGAATAGAAAAGAGAGTTAAGAATATTATACATGTGGATCACTAACATAACCTATGGAGGGAAAAACTTTTTTCCCTCTCATAAAACAGTCTCAGGAAATCTCTTTAGATAGTAAGAGGAAATAACTCTTGGAATAAAACTATGGTCATTCTTGCCCTAACCAGTTTGGCTCAGTGGATAGAGCATCGGCCTGCGGACTCAAGGGTCCCAGGTTCGATTCCGGTCAAGGGCATGTACCTTGGTTGCGGGCACATCCCCAGTAGGGAGTGTGCAGGAGGCAGCTAATCGATGTTTCTCTCTCATCGATGTTTATCTCTCATCAATGTTTCTAACTATCCCTCTCCCTTCCTCTCTAAAAAAATCAATAAAATATATTTTAAAAAAACTATGGTCATTCTTTAGTGAATTTTTTTAAATGGGTATTGCATTTCTTTAATTGGCTGTCGTCACAACTTGCTGACATAGTTTTTCAAGCAACCAGTTCCTATAATTCCACATCACATTCATGCCTGTAACTAACTCATCATTTCTCCATGTAATTAAAAATTATCTGGATGAGTTAGGCTCTGAAGCTTTCTTTATTGGGAAGAGTAGAAGACTTGAAGTAAGAAGGCATTTGCATCAGCCCCATCTTAGTACTCAATGCCCATTTGATATCTACTAAGTCACTTGATCTCCATTTCATCATCTGTGAGATGCAAGTCTTGAAATAGTGTTCAACTGCTTTGTAACAAACCATCCCAAAACTTGGTGACTTGAAACAACCATCTTATTTTGTCCACAGTTTTGTGAGTTAGGAATTCAGGAAGGACTCAACTGGGTGGTTTGTTTCTGATCCATGTGGCATCAAGTAGGGTGGTGCCTGGGCTTCCAGAATCCACTCCTGAGCTGGCTTCTTCACTAGCACGTCTTTGCCTTGTCGATCCTCGGCCTCTCTCTGTATCCACATGGCATCTCATCCTCCAGCACCTCTGCTTGAACCTGGGTTTCTCACGCTGTGGTTTTCCGAGGGTGGGCACACTTTTACATGGCAGCTGGCTTGCAAGAAGAAGGAAGCAAAAGATGCTAGGCCACCCGGGACTGACACAGCCTCACCTCTGCTGTGTTCTGTTGTTCAAAGCAGTTACAGGTCTCACCCAGGTCCACGGCTGGAGAAAGAGACTTCACCTCTTGAAGAGGGAATTACAGATGAGCATGTAAGATGTGTCTATAAATACTGAATTGGCTGTCTATGTGTATGGTCACAAGTGAATTGTAAGACTTACTAATATAAAGAACGTATAGCACACAATTTACAATTAAAAATAAACTATACAGTACTCTGTAGGTTCCACATCCCAGTTGATTCTCACAGCATGCTTTCATTGACTTTTGCCAGACTCTAAGATCCGCAAGCCAACCTACTATTGAGAATAAGGACTTCGCCTTATTTGTTTTCAAGACTCCTTGAGTGGCATTTTCTTCTTGCACAATCACAAACTAAGATTTAATTCATTTTTTGAAATGTATCACAATGATGACATTCTTGAATACTTTCAGTGTACAAAGCACTTTTAAATATGCTCTTAATTGATTCTAATAATATTATGAGGAATTCTCATTCCCATTTTCCAGATGAGAAAACAGGTTTTGGAGCAAAGTAACTCGCTAAGGGTCACTGCTATTGAAGGCATAGGTAAGACTAGATCCCATGACTTCTGACTCCGAGTGGACTACTTTCCACTTCCTCCACTGAAACGGTAACATTTAGAGGGGAAATTTTAAATGATTTTATGTCACTGTCCATATTAAAATGCCTTCTTTAAAGGAAGACTTTTTGATAGATGTTAATTAGATGATTAGTATGGAGCAGCTTGACTGTTTCAGTTCCTGGTTCTAGATACCAAGTTTTACAGTGATTAAAACAAAGTATCCTCACTGTTCATCTCACTTGTGCAGCAAGATTCATTGTCTTATCTCAGTGGATGCAGACCCACAAATATCTTCTTACTTCATCTTTTCCAAAATTCAGTAGCAAGAATTGCTTTTTAAAGAAAAAAAAATATTTTGCAATCCCTTCCCAGCCACAGGCTCCCCATAGAGTCTATGGGGATTGAGGAATGTGTTTGAGGAGACGAAGCAAGCTGTGACAATACGATTTAAATATAACAGTGAAAGGGGCATTGGGAGAAAAACTTTGATATTGCAGAGTGACAGTGATAGGGGAAAGCCAGAGAGAGGCCTCAGGGCTTCCTTTTGTCCTTTTCCTCTTCTAATATTCTTCATTTTCCCACCACAAAGTAGATTTCCTTATCTGTCAGTGAAGTCATTCTCTGTGGCTTGTAATGTCATTCTTTGTTTTGGCTGAAGAGTCCATTTTTTCAAAGAGATTATGGAGCTGTTTTTATTAGTGTTTTTAAATTTACATGAGGAAACTATTCTTTTCTCTTTTTTTAATTTCAGAGAGGCAGGGAGAGGGAGAGAGAGACATCAATGATGAGAGAGAGAATCATTGGCTGCCTCCTGCACTCCCCCTACTGGGGATCGAGCCCGCAACCTGGGCATGTGCCCTTACTAGAATCCAACCTGGGACCCTTCAGTCCACAGGCAACGCTCTATCCACTGAGCCAAACCAGCTAGAGCAGGAAACTATTCTTTGTAGAAAAGTTAGGATATAAATATAAGCACACAGTGGAAACCAAAAACCATCTGCAATCCAGCCTCGATTGTTAATTGATAACTGATGTTAACATTTTGATGAGCATCTCAAGTTTTTCAGCCTGAAGGGACATAAGCATCTCTTTAAACCCCAGCATGTACATGGCATGGATTATGTGTTCGTTGAATAGTAATAGTGACAGCATTCCGTTTGATATTTTATTTGAGTGGCTTTTAAGTGCTGTGCTGAAACTTTCCATTCTAATTATCTTAACTTTCAATATGAAAGAATAAATAGCAACTGCCTTCCCAGTAGCTTTGTGACCTGATGGAACCCAGGACCCTTCAGTTTGCAGGCTGATGCTCTATCCACTGAGCCATACCAGCTAGGGTTCTCTGAGACATTTCTTAAAAGAAGGCCTGCTTCATTGATGCAGGGTATGCCAAGAAAATATGTGACCTAAGTAACAAGCCTGTATATCTACTTTCTCTTATTCAGGCAGCAATACGGAAAGAACTAAATGAATTTAAAAGCACAGAAATGGAAGTGCACGAAGAGAGTCGGCAGTTTACAAGGTAAGTGGACACAATTCAGTTTAGCATATTAAAAATGATCAAGATGGTAAGTTTTATGTTACGTGTATTTTACCACAATTGAATTTTTAAAAAATACAATCTAACATAATACCATCTAATGAACATTTCTAAAAGTAAGCCTTGTTTTTTTCTCTCAAAGAAGTCTGAGTCATTCTAAAGGGCTATATTTGGTTTCTTTTTCATTTTATTTCCTGGGTGAGAAGACAAGCTTTTTGAAGAGACTCAATTAACATTTTATGCCCTGAACAGATGCTGGTGGGAGCCAGTGTGGGCACTTATGTGTCTGCTTTGGACTCACAGTAGACATACTTAGAGAGGAGAGAAACTCAGTTTTCAGAACATGTCACTTAAAATAGGAATCCCATGTTCACTGGTGCCACAGAAGCTGTCTGTAATCCTGCCATCTTTCCTCCCATCACCCTTCAGGCTTCTAAGCCCTGAATGATCATGTCGTCTGACACCCCCACCCCCACCCAGCTGGCCAGGCACCCCAGTGGGGACCCCAACCCTGAAAGGGGTGTGACCAGCTGCAAACAGTCATGGATGTCTCTCTCTCAAAGGTTTACATGCTTTGCTTTATACAACAGGTGTGTTCCTAAAAATTTGAAAGTCAATCAAATCCTTAAGAATTAAATTGTTAGGAAACAAACCAAAATAGGCAATTACATGGAGACTTCTTTCTGGGAAACATGTCCCGATCCCCTAGGTTGGAAACAGCCTCTGGAGGGCAGCCCTACATCAGGTGCCACCATTAATGCTGAGGCTCTGGTGACAGGGATGTTGCTGCTGGAGAGCATGTGGCATGGATGGAAGTAGGATTTAATAGCAAACCTCCCCCCTGACGTTCATGGGGCTGTCTTGCTCTACAGCTACTGTTCCTATAATAACCATGTCTGGTGTGCAGAAGAAACTCCCCTTTCTGCTAGGATATTTCTTGTTTGTTTTGTTCTCTCCAATGGCATGTTTGTTTGCTTATTTATTGAGAGAGAGAGAGAGAGAGAGAGAATATGCATACAGGACTTTCAGACATCCTGAATGTATGGGGCTTCTCTCTGTCTGAAGGCTTCATGCTGTCATAATCTACACAGACATCCGTCACATCCAATATCAAGCCAGACCTAAGTGTCCTCTCTTTTTCTCCCCTCTATTTCTGGGGTCAGGAGAAGTTCTTGCTAATGTCTGATACCTGTGGTCACACTGTGACAGTAAAATTGATCAGAATAAGGTGGCTGGATATTTATGGTGACATCGAACTGGCCGGGACCTCCAGGCAACTGGGAAGGTGGCATTTTTCGTGTCGTTTGTGTCCTGACCCCTGAGATGTAGTGACTGTATCAATCCAGTCTTTGTCATTCAGGATAATTTTACTTCTCTGTAGTTTTCCTAGAAACTGTAGTATTTGATCCCCACATTTCATTTGATAGCATTATATAAAGAATAAATTATAATAAAAATAATTAAAATTCTAAAATGCCTTTGTATGGAAGTCCTCATTTTATGAAAAATAAGCATTTACACTGAAAGAGGCTCTTTCTCTTCTGTTGTACTCTGTAAACAAGTAAAAAAAATAAGATGCAGGGAGAAGTAACGGTCATTTCTTTTTCAGAGATGTCTTTTTAATGTGAACAAATAATGGTCTAAATAAGCTTTCAAACAGTATAAAAATTTGTCAAGTAAAAATGAAAACTCCCTTCAGTCCTTCCCCAGTTTTATTTTCATTCGCATCAGTAACCACTGGTGGAAGTTTGGTGTAGATCAGTGATGGCAAACCTTTTGAGCTCGGCGTGTCAGCATTTTGAAAAACCCTAACTTAACTCTGCTGTCGTGTCACATATAGAAATTTTTTGATATTTGCAACCATAGTAAAACAAAGACTTATATTTTTGATATTTATTTTATATATTTAAATGCCATTTAACAAAGAAAAATCAACCAAAAAAAATGAGTTCGCGTGTCACCTCTGACACGCATGTCATAGGTTCGCCATCACTGGTGTAGATCCTTCTAGACATTTTTTCTGTGCATTTACAAACATGTATGTGCATATGTATTTACATATATATATACACACACACACATCTGCCTATATATATATACACATCCTCAGTCACACAAAACAGCATTCACAAAATTTTTCCACATCAGTATATATCTTATTAATTTGAATGATTCTACAGTATTTCATAGGTATTATGCCATAACTTCCTGAACAGTTATTCTATTGATAGATGTTTATGGAATTTTTAGTTTTTCGTTAGTAAAATGATGCTGCCTTTTGAGTTTCTTTATAAATGTATCTTTTTGCTCGCACACCAGTATTTCTGTATTAGTCCCATAAGTGGATTTCCTAGGTCACAGGAAGTATTTTTACATTTTGAGAGATACTTTTCTGTGACCTACAGTTTACGAGCATGCCTGGTCTGTTAACCCTCAGCACCATGTGGGGGTGATGATGGTGGAGAAGAGGCCTATATTCTAAAGAATGAACATTAATATCCCATTTCACTGATTTCGGTAAAGTTGAGCATCTTTACATACCTTTATTGACCATTTATTTTTCATTCTTTGATTTGTCTTGACCAATTTTCTTTTGGCTTGTTTATCTTTTTCTTATGGATTAGTAAAAACTCAGATATTGAGTTACTACATATCACAATACTTTCCCCCAATGTATTGCTAACATTTTAACTTTTTTATGGTTTTCTATTGAAATGTTTGCATATTTAAATTTGTATTGTTATTTTTTTTAAATATATTTTATTGATTTTTTTTTTACAGAGAGGAAGGGAGAGGGATAGAGAGTTAGAAACATTGATCAGAGAGAAACATCGATCAGCTGCCTCCTGCACACTCCCTACTGGGTATGTGCCTGCAACCAAGGTATATGCCCTTGACCGGAATCGAACCTGGGACCCTTGAGTCTGCAGGCCGACACTCTATCCACTGAGCCAAACCGGTTAGGGCTGTTATTTTTTAATTTACTGTCTTGTGTCCTAAAGAGGAGGGCCAAGGTTATAAAGGTACTAGAGGCTGGTGCACAACATTCGTGCACTGGCTGGGGGGTTGGGGGGCAATCCCTGAGCCCGGCCTGTACCCTCTCCCAGTCTGGGACCCCTTGGAGTCCTTCACGCTGCCACAGAGGCAAGAGAGGCTCCTGCCAGCGCCAGCCGTGAGCCTGGCTTCTGGATGAGTGGCGCCTCCCCTGTGGTCAATTTGCATATTAGCCTTTTATTATATAGGATTACCTTTAGTTTTTATATGTGTTTTTGTTTTACACTTAGATCTTTCATCCATTGGGCAATTATTTGGGTTTATGATTCAAAAGAGTAAACTAGCTTTACTTTGTTCTAAATCAGTAGTCATTGTCCCACTGCGATTTATTTCCCCCTCGGTATAAAATTTTTCTTTTAATGTACATGTGGGTCAGTTTCCAGATTCTTTAGTGTGCTCTAGCAAGCTATTGTCTATCCTTGCACTGTGTCACACTGTTTACTTAGAATAGTACATTTTATAGTATATTTTTATATCTGGTGGGTTATTTTCTCACCTTGGAAATTCCATTGGCTATTTTTCTGTATTTGCCCATCTGCAGAAATTTAGAGTATGCTTGTTGTGTTCCATAAAATAGTCTATTAATATCTTCATTGTTTAAGTACATATGAATAGATGCAAATAGGGATGAGCTTCATTTCAAAAGAAAATTATAGACTTTGGGGGATAATAGTTGATATGAAAGGTAAATTTTACTGAAGTTTTCAAAAAAATATATTGATTAACACACTTCCAAACATCTTTCCAGATAAGGAAAAATTAAATATTCATATCACTGCGATGAATATGCCTTGCTTAAGTATTCTTAAAAACTTGGCAGGAAAGCAAATATCTACCATTTTTCCTTTCATTTCTATTACATCATTAGACTTGCCTTTTGGCTCTGAGACTTATGAAAATCATGCATATGATTATCAGATAGTTTTCATTATTTCTTAGGAGAAAGTTTTGGTAAACACTGCTGTGTCTAATCCAAATGATACAAATATACGATAATGTTTTACATCTAGAAAACTGCTCATGTAGAAGATAGTGGTGTTCTTAGCACCAGCCATCCTTGGAGGGCATAAACAAGCTGTTGATCATTACCTAGCCTCTTAGATGCAACCTAGATACAGAGCAACTCACTTATTAGCTCTTCTTATTAATGTCAGACATTATCTCCTTACATCAAGTAAACATTTCCTTTACAACCTAAATCTATTAACTCCCGGGGCATTTGGGGGTGTTAAAAGGGTTGAGACAGCCCTGCTCCCTCTGCCCAGGTACCTCGTTATCCAGAGATAATCTCCCACACAGTGATGGATCAGTCAACACTGGACGGAACACTTCCCATATGTAGCTTTTTTTTTTTTTTTTTTTTTTTTCTGTATCTCTGGATAGAAACCAAACAAGCTGATTACATTGGTTGCCTCTGGGAAGGGGAATTGGGTGACTGGGATTAGGCATGAGAGGGATTCTTTTCACTGCTCACTCTTGGGCCTTTTGAATTTTTGAAACATAAGAATGTATTACATAGTCAAAAAAGCCTTGAAAAATAAAGGAGCTATTCCCTACTCTTTTTGTAAATGAGAAGTTCATCATGATGACCTTTCTTGAATACTGTGCTGGTGCTAATATTAAATGTGACACTCTTGCTATTGGTGTACCAACAAGACACCTTGGAAACCCCCAGCATGAATACATTTGGGGACATATTTGGTCTGTAGTGGTGGTGAATTGTAGTGATGCGCTCTTTCCTCTAGTTCCCCAGGTTTCTCCCAGTAGTTTGCAGATATCTGTCTGGAATTAGAATGGACTTTAGTCCCATGTAACAAGGGTGAGCACTAGTGGGCCCTGCAAGAGTTCATTCTGTGGCCTGACAGGTACCAAACCCTAACCTTGGTCCCTTAAAACACTTGCTGCTTATCCGGCCAGCCACATCCTGAATTTTCTCCCCGCAGCAGCTGCCCGCCCACACCACTGTTCAAAATCCCAGAGACCATAGGAAGGGCCATTGCATTCTGAAAGGAGATCACTATGGCAAAGAAAAGCCATTTCCCTTTCCATGGGAAATAGAATTTCTACAATTTAAAATCATTCCCTAAACCAGTGATGGCAAACCTCTGACACGCGTGTCAGAGGTGACACACGAACTCATTTTTTTGGTTGATTTTTCTTGGTTAAATGGCATTTAAATATATAAAATAAATATCAAAAATGTAAGTCTTTGTTTTACTATGGTTGCAAATATCAAAAAATTTCTATATGTGACACGACAGCAGAGTTAAGTTAGGGTTTTTCAAAATGCT